TTTTTTTAAATTACTTGTTACAATAATTATTATGTTTGATATATTTTAAAAATACCTACTGTTGAATAAATTAATAAGGAATTTTAATATATTTATATTATAATTTAAAATGTTTTACTTCATAAGAGAGAATAAAAATACTATTGCTTCATTATCTTAACAATACCTAAATTTAAATAAATGAATAAATGAGGAAAAACTGAATATATTCATATGTGTGACAACTTGCCCCGTACACGGGGTAAGTTAGTCTGATTATTTTTTTTTAGTTTTATTTTTTTTGTCAATTATGGATTAATAATTAAGATGGCAATTTAAATTAATTATGTAGCCTACAAGTTACTGAACAGTTAGGTGTATTTTAAGCTTTAAAGTCATAAAACTGAATAAATTTAAAATTCTTATGTAAAAAGTGAGCCAACTAGCCCCGGTCTCCCCTATATGATAATGGACCAACGAGTGATAATTTAAGTAAAAATTAAAGTGTTTATTATTTAAATACAAAATTTGAAATCATTAAAATAATAATATAATTGATTAACTATCTACTTAATCATAAAAAATTATATTTTATTTAGTAAATTAATTGAAATCTATTTAATAGTTTAGAAACATTAGATTATAACATTATCCAATAAACTTGTCGATATTGTATTAATAAATCTAAAATATAATAACAATCGCAATCTCGGACTTTAACCGTGACGAAATTAAGTAATTTTATACAACACTCGGTACTCACATATTGGAATGAGATGATCGGTAACGTTGAAATGTCTCCGTACAGGAATTAACTGAAATAAAAAAAAATCATGAACATTTTAAATCCATATATTTTACACTTGATATAAATTTATAGATATAATTATATAACAAGTAGATAGCCAATTTTAAATACATCCTAGAGTTAATTTTGAAGCCAGGTAAATGACCTAGTTTTTTTATCAAAAAAACCTCTTATTTCAATTTTGATTATTGATAATGATCATAAAAAAAAATGTTATAGTAAGTCAAATATCTAGTTGTAGATAATATCTATGTATATATCTGTGCGATAATCTATGCACGAGGAACAATCATGGTAGTGATTGCAGTTTTTCTGTTAATTTATTATAGTTTATATGGAATAATCATGTACGATAAATTTAACCAAACAGGTACAATATGTACAAACACGAAATTCCAAAAAATAAATGTTTACTCGTATAAACGTACGCGATTACAATTTAAGTGGCTTCCCACGATTAATATATTGTTAATAATTGCATCAATAATATTGATGGAATTATGTATATTGAAGCGAATACTGATCGTTTCGGAGGATATTGATATGGATTGTTAGAAATTTTGATTTACATTTATTGTCATTATTTCCGTAATTATCGTAATTCACCAATCAGACCGCACTGTAGAAATATCGATATCAAGCTCACTTGAAAATGAATTGATCGGTGATTGAGTGTTTAACCCTTTGATAACTTCATATTGTGACCATCTTCAACTATGGCAATTAAGAAAATTTTATTAAAGATAATTTCAATAAAAATATAGAATTTGTACATTTCTTATCTTCTTTGGTTTGCACATGGCTGAAGTAAAAGTCATAAATCTCAAATCTGTATTTGAAACCATTTGAAAAAAAAAAATAACACTTTGAATACGAGCATTTCGAAATCGACGATCGAATGAGTATTGGTGGCTATAATGACGAGTAAATAAAAATACATTGATACATATGTCAATCTAAATTTTTAATATTATTGATCGTGTAAGGGCCATTTTAGATACCGAGTGCTTGATTGACTTTATTATTATTATTATTATAATTTTTTTTTTTTTTAGGAATAGAACAACAGTTTAGCGTTTCAAAGCGTCTATTTATAGCACGAGAAAAAAAAACAAGGTCTTACACCGGCGCAATTTTTTGGCGCCATCTTTGGGTTCATTCATAGCATCATGGTATTGTTGAACGTGAGATTTATCGCGTGAGTCTTATACATTTTATCTATAATACATCGTGCGTATTGTTGAACGTTGTCGGAAAATTCATAGTTTTCAATAGACACGAATAACAAACAACAGATAAAAAACACCTATCATATTATATACAATGTGTAGGTACGTGACGATACATTCTGATTTACATATATGTTCGTCTCCGTACACATATGCATACACATTACAATATGTATAGGTGTATATGTATGTATAAGTATACATGGGAATTATTATTTCTAATAAATACGTTATATGCGTTGTTCGTCTCATTGAGTGGTCACAATGTAATGTATATGTTTATCATTATGTTTTGTCATTGGTAGATCCAACGATGATAGTGTTTAAATTTTTTTCTTTCTAATGTAGGTTTTATAATTATATATTTATGATCTATTGATAGTTTTCATGATTTGACAAAAGAAAAAAAATTATAAAAATCTCAAACGTATGTAGTCTGACAATAATCAGACATAATTTGCACAAATTAATATGCTTACACCTACGTACAATTTGCATACTATCTTTGTATACTTGTACGTGTTGTAATTAATAGCATATTAAGTTGTATAATGTTTAATTTTATGGAGCAAAGAAAGGAAATGCAACGTTCGACTGTTATAATACAGTATAATATTATTGGTCCAACGGACGCTAAATTCCATTATATTTTACGTACTACAGTCGGTCATCAATCAAGTATTTTTTATTATGGCTGCGAAATAATCATAGTTTTCTGTGAAGGTATTTTTACACGTGCGATATTGATAATAATATTAATATTAAACTAAACATTGATAATTCTCACGAAACACTGTACGACAAACAACTCACACCAGGGTACACTTACGACAATGAATTATAATTTTTTTTATCTATATTCAAAATAACCCACGGCAGCATCGGCTATTGGAGCATTGTCTTGTCTAAATGTTACTTAATACTTTTGATGATACGATGAATTTGATTGTTGCTTTCGTGGATTCTCGGCAGTTGTTGCGTAATATGAAAATATTTTTAGGAAGATTGGTTTTTTTCTTGTGTAACCCATAGTTTAGGTATTGGGTAAATATGTATTTGATACTCGAAATCTTCTATATTGTAACTGTTGTGACTAGATTGTGTAGATGTGTTCAAGTAGTATTAGTTCACATAGTATTTTGATTTTTTAAATAATATAAATTACATTTTAAAATTTATTTATGGGTGGTTTTGTTAGTTAACAAATTAACTTTTTCGTGCTGCTTCGTTTTATTTGTGCTGTGTAAGTTTAATTAATAGTTTATATATAGTGTGTAAACGATAACTGGATACACCTAATATTTTTACACAGAGCAATGCAATTTGAATTCTGTTTTTTTAGTTGGAAGTTATACATAATAATATACATTTTTCTGGTCTCTGAACTTAAATCTGTTCATTATATTTACGCATGCGCAATGCACCATTTTTTTTCTTAAATCACAACTCCCACTTTTGAACGTAAATTTTTATTTCATATTTTTTTTATGAATTTTAGTGGTTTAACCAATTTTATATATTCAAATTTGATTGAATTGCAGAGATTTAACGAAGAATATTGAAAATTACATGATTTTTGTTTTTGTCTCCTATTACTCTTAAAAAAAACGTTCCTAAACACTTGAGAACTTCTCCTTTTAATTTATTAAAAATGTATTTTATTTTGAACTTCCCACTGAATAAATTGTATGTAGATTGTTCAAACCAATTAGGCTTAATAAGCATAATTAAATAAAAATTATTACAGATAGATATTTTTGAGTTCGTCAATTTATTAAAATTAATAAAGATACTCTTATTAATTTTAAGTTACCTTCTTGTTTCAAAAAGCGATTTTTATATATTTCATTTTTTATTTGCCATATGGCCACTGAACTATGGTATAAATTAGTAAAACTACGCTAAATTTCTTCATTGTAAATGAAGTTTAAATAGTAGCTTAAATGAAATAAAAAAATATAATATAAGTTAGTACTAATATGTAATACTTAAATAAATAATATTAGTATTTATTTATTATTTTGTTAAACAAGAAAAATTGCACTTTTTGGCTTGCTCGACTGACATTTAAGTATATACACGAGCACTTATGAATGTCAACCATCTTGACTAATGATAAAAATTCAAACTTGTTTAATTTTCATCAGTCATAAAATTTGACTGTCAATCATTATTAGTCATACACATACACAGTCAGTTATGAAATCACGTTGACTGTCATTCAAAATTGACATATAGGAGAGGCCTCTTTAGTTCCAAATTATTAATTCTCGACAATAATATAATTATCAACATTTTAATGATCTAGTAGATATGTTTTTAAATAAAAAAATTGTATAATAATTAAAGAGCACATATTATGAGATTATTAAATACATAAAAATTTTTTTTGTAACATCATCACCTTTAAACATAATTATAGCACTGGTAATATATATAAAAATCATAAAAACATTTATAGTAAATACTTTTGCTATAAGGCTAAGTCTAAAAGCCTAAATTAAGGCTTATAGGCATGTAACAATGAAAAATCAATAAAATAACGATAGCTAATAAAACTAAAAAAAATGTATTTATTACTCTATGTACAGTAATCTTGGCAATATAATAAATAATTTAAAACTAAATACAATTTCAATTGTTCGGATATATAGCCGTCGAAACACGTTCATAGTAACACTTTTACTTTCTTTTTTCGACGTACAGCTTATAGTATTGTAAAACAGTTTTCTCGTCGAGAGCACATCGGCCACTTTCACTTATTTTTTAGTGCACGTAACTATTTTTTGGATGTTTTTAATAAATGCGAAACGTATACGGTTACATAGATTTTTAATTACATTTTCAAATAATCTGTTAAATAAATAAATAGCTCCCATGAACTTGGTTTTATGATGTTAGTAAATTTAATAGTGTGACTACGATGAATCGGAGTAGGGTTGCCATACGTCCTGGTTTGGGTGGGACAGTACCAATATTGAGTATGGCGTCTAGGTGTCTCCATGATATGTGACAGCCAATTTTCCCGGAATGATACTTTAATAATATATGTTTGTATTTTATTTAACTCTAGGTTGAAAAAACAATAAGAATATTGTCAAGATAAAATAAAAAGTTGAATAACTGATTGAAGAATCTTTTTTTAATTATTTTTTTGACTAAGAGATGATTATTTTTGTTAAATAATTTCTTCGTATTTCCGTTTCCCCACGATAGTTATAATTATCTCTAAACGAACCATTATTCAATATTTTGTCAGTTGTAGTAAACTAATCACTGTAGTGTAATACTGTAGTATAGAGTAGTCGTACTGTAGTTCGTGTTTATTTTAGACTTTCTATCCCGTGGGAGGGGGGGCATGTGGTATGGAGTATGCCATAGGAATAAATAATTAATAAGTAAATACATTTTTGTAGTAATTATCCCTGTATAATCGAAAAATCAATAAAAAGTTAATTTGATAAGAACAATGAAAAAAAAAATCTGTCCCGATTTTTGCCAAATAAATTATAGTAACCTTAGATCAGAGGGCGTGATTGCACCCGGACTTTGGTGCTTTAATGAAATAGAATTTTTGTTTTTGTTTTTTACATCTATATTAACTTTAATTATATAATAATAATATTCTCAAACACCTTGTTTAATTTTAATTAGTAATTTGTTTTAATTGTAAAACGATAAGATGTGTTTAAATAATACAAAATATGTAATAATATTTAATAAATGTGTAAAATAATTTTAGGAATACAGGGCATTCCTCATAGGTCTACGAATACTT